GAAAGATGCGCAGAAACATGCGTACGCACGGTTTTATAAATCTTAATTTTTTTTTTGGCGTACGCCTTTTCCACCTTTTGGCCGTACGTTCACTTTTAGTATGGTTTCCACGCAATCCTTTATGAATGAGACCCCAGATGACGCAGAGCAGCAGGGGGAGAACCGGACTGACTCTCCGTTAGCTTTACTGTTCGTTACATAAGAAATGTGCTCGCCAGATGGTCCTGAACACTCCAGCACTTGTAATGTTTTTCCTTCCACCAAAGGAAAATCCTACTGCATGAAACACACACACACACACACCCAGTCTACACACAAAACAGGAACTTTAACAACTTCCATGAGTTCATCAGCTCTGAAACGATGGATGAGGTAACCAGTCAGACGAGACGCTGCTTATTTTCTTTTTCATTCAGTTTGCAGCTAAAAAACAATCATTGAAGATTCAAGTCAAGTTTGTTAAACACCCCCCCCCAAAAAAAAAAAAAAAAAAAAAAAACCCGTGATCCAACACCTCTTATATTTGTGTTTTGCTTCATGCAGTTTTCAGCAAGGAGCCTGTCTGTCTCAGACTGCCCAGCGATGTGAAAGCATTAGTGCAGGTTACTTCCCCTCTCCCTAATCGGCTGCAGAGGAAAGAAAAACGGGTGTTTCTCTTCCTACTTTTGCACGAGACATGAAAATCTTGAGAATTAAGGCTCTCAAGGAGCCACTTTTTAAAAAAAAAAAAACAGGGAGGAGGCCTCAGATTTACGAACAAGCCTTGTATTTAAAGAAAACATCAGTGGAAACGTTCCTCCTGTTGCACGCAGAGGAACAGCTCTAATTATTTAGATTGAGTACTGGATACTGCAGGCTGCAGAGGACTAAATTGTGTACTTTTACTGAGGTAAATCACTGAAATCACACAGCTGTTCCAGACCGACATGTAACAGATGTTTTTATGAAATCGTTTTCCTTCTGTGAGTGAAAGGAAGTATGAAACTCACCGAGTCGGCAACTTTTTCTGCTTTTTGTAAATCTTGCCTCATATTAGATTGTGTGTAAATAAAGTACACACAAGTATTCTTTAAGAGAGTTTAAACATGCTCCTACAGAACCCGCAGAATAATGTCAGGTTTTATCTTCAGCCCCGCCAAAATACAAGCAACTCCCATTAAATGTGTCAAACATCTGACTTTAAACTGTTTTTTTTTTTTTTTTAGTTTTTACCTCCATCCTGAGAATGTGTCAGATCCCGTCCTCTTCTGTCCTCTTTTTCCTTCCGGTCGGTTTCAGCCTTTAGGAGCAAACTTCTCCTGAGGAGCAGAGAGGAGAGCAACCAGCTCTGTGTTTCTGTCTGGAGCCAGACCAGCAGCATGGATGGAGAGGAGGAGCGCCCAACATTTACGCACATTTCACTCCCTCCCTGTCAACTAGTTCAGGAAAAGGGAAAAAAAAAAGTGGGTTTGAGGACTTTCAAAATATAATCCTGCTCATTTCTGTTTTTGCTCAAACTAATGAGCAGATAAAGAGAACTGGATTTGAAATAAAAGCTTTATAGCGTTTGTAAAGATGCATTTTATTTTGGCTTCTGTTTAAAATTATTTGTTGAAGAATGAAAGAAAAGGAAGCAAGAACTTTTTTTTGTTTGTTTTTCAGATTATCTCATATTTTACTGTCAGGACAAAGTGACACTTTTTACAAATAAGTCAAAAGAGATCTATGTTTTCTTAGAGAAGTTGTAGAACTTTAAGCTTATAATTAATATTTTCTAGCAAGTGTTTCACATTTAGCTAGCATTTAGTTAGCATTTTGCTCGTTCAGCTTTTAGCTGGTGCTCTGTTAGGTCAGCTTTAGTTTCTCCTGTAACATGTCAGCAGTTTTTCAGCTCTTTTCTGTAAAAAAAAAAAAAAAGAAGTAATTTGGTTTGTATTTATTCTCTTTTTTCAACATGGAGCTCAATAAGAACTGCAGAGTTGCTTCTAAAAGCTCTTGAAGTCAAACAGAAAAGTAATTTGTCACTTTTGGGGCTGTGGTAGCTTGGTGGTCATAATCCTGAGGCTGAAGGTTTAATCCCAGGTTTGGGCAGGGAGGATATCTGTGTGAAATAATGCCAAAATATTTCAGACAAATTCACTTTTTTTGTGGCAACGCCTGCAGAAGGAAGCGGCCTAAAGAAAAACTTATCTTTAACATTACTAAAATGTTGGAGAGCCTGTTTTATTTATTTATTTATTTATTTATTTATTTATTTATTTATTTTTAGTAATTCAAAGAAAAATCTCAGGGAACTCAGACTTTGTCTCCATCTTGTGGTAGAACTATTTATTAGAGCAGGAAAACATGAGAATAATCTGATGAAACGTTTAGTTTTACTGCATTCTAGTGCATTTCATATCCTTTATTTTATGCTAAAAACAGTTATATATTTTATTGTCCTTTTAAACTTTTTTGGTGATAACACATGTTGGGAGTGATTTATTC